TATATATCGCTCATCTGCGTCATTACTTTTCATCAAGAGTGCTTTACACGTCCACTAAGGCTTGAATGCAGGGGTAAGTGCTATATAGGCACTCACTACTACATGGCACAGGTTATCACTATAGAACAAACTTTGCAAGCAGCTCTCCACGGGTATGCGCAACTTGGTGTGTGTGATCAGGGTGGCTTATGATATGATTTTCAGGATTTTCTTATGAAATGTGGAACAATAGCTGTAATACGATGCCCTGTCTAGCCCTGGTGCTTTAGCGACTTTAAAATGAGATTCGTCAATGTATAGGGTACACATCAATTGTTCATCTAGAGCCGGGCGAACGTGTAATAATATAATCAAAGCGATCAGACATTCGCACAGCATATTTAAGATGGAAATACATACATACACTGATGTATATATTTATAGTTGAACTGGATATAAGGAAATAAATTTATACCTGAAGCGACTGTGAAGTTCAAAAGCAGAGCAGCGGCCCAGAACAGAAGCTCGGGATCGTTTGACTTGGTGAACGCTCCAATGGCGCCCAACACCCCAGCATCCACCAGCTGTATGTGGTTCTCCTCTGTTGCGTGTTTCAAGAGAATAAACAAGATCGCTGTTTCAATTCTTCAGTCACTGTTACCATTCCGGCGCCGAATGTTGCTGGACGCGTGAAACGGGCTGGAAATTCCAAATCTTGGCAAACTCTCGTACTATACATCTCTATCGTACCAATAACTTCATAACCGGTGTAAGCCAACTACACAATACATCTCTGGCCACAACAAGCACGACATGGTGCAGTACAGTGGGCGTAACTTATGCGCAAAATGGCGAACAATTAACACTTTTGATGCATATGTATTTTTCGACTTGATGAGAATTTTATCGCCATCATTTGAGCCACCCGAATACACACATGGCATGTTTTTGTGTACGCAGCCATATATAGACCTAAAAGGTCGTATGAATAAAATACTTATATTACACGTATGTACACAGACAATTCAGAAATATTCTATGAAGTAAAAGTCCAAAACTGGTATATACACCTACAAGCAACTTTATAACCACCTGACACACACAGGAAGCCAAAGGTCTCAGCAATCAGTAACGACGCTGACACGTCTCCGTGCTTGTCAGTGTTCTTCTTTACTACAGACACGAGTGCGGCCACCAGCCCTTCCAAAGAGAGTAGCCGCTTGGTTGCCGCGTCCCCTGAGGTATGATTGAGTATGTTGTTCAAATACGGAAGATATTAGAGCAGGTTTTATAGTATAAGGAATGTAATTTTGTTAGAATAGAATAGATCTGCGTATATCGGATTGATTCAAAATTGCATCTTATATGATTAATACCTCAAATCTATATACAAAATCAGACTGACGAACGGAAAACACGAGTGTGGATAACTACACATGCGTATGCATGCGGAAGCAGAGTCAAGAAGCTGAATAAGTTTGATAAGGGACCTATTTAATCTGATTATCCGAGAATCCTTGTAAATGCGGTCTACGCCCGGATGTTAACCGAGATACCACTGTGCATACGAGGTCGCTTAGTAGTATTCGACACGTGCATAGATATACAGTATATTGCAGGAACATGGAC